AAGAAGACATCTTTTAATTAAAGTTACAATCCCAGCTGTTGCACAATAATCAGGCTCCAATATCTTCACCACATAATCTTCATCTTCACCAATAAAGAAACAAGCAATATGCAAAAACAACTCTCTGTAAGTCAAAAATGGCAAATACTCATAGCTCATTCTGAGTATCCCTTGTATTCTATAATCAGGATCTCTTTCCAACAAATTCAATGTACTTATCCAAAAATCTATGTTGTTTCTTTTTCTTGGATCTTTAGAATTAACAAATAAAGAACCGAGTAGTTTAAGAGCCAATGGATTTCCTGAACAATATTCTGCTGCTTGTGATGCAAGCTCCTTGAAACCTTCCATGGGGATTTTGGATCCAAAAGCATACCAACTTAAAAGCTCTAATGATTCATGTTCGTTTAATAACTCGAGTTTATGCTCTTTACATTTTAAATATGTAGACATAAACCATGTCTGTATAGTTGGAAGCCTACTTGTGATGATAATCTTGCTTTCTGTATTAATCTTTTCAGATCCAAGTAAAGCTTCTAGTTGTTCCTTTTTGTCAATGTCATCAAGAACAATAAGCACTCGTTTCTTTTGTAACACGTTTTCAATCTGACTTTTATACCGAGTAACATCGAGTTCTTTTTTCTTCTCCTCTAAAATATCTGCAAGAAGTTGTTCTTGTAGTGCACATAAACCATAAGGTTGTTCACAGATCTTTCCAATGTCTTCAAGGAAACTACTGCTTTCAAACTTTAACAAGTTGGATTCGTATATATATTTGGCCAGTGTTGTCTTTCCACTTCCTGCCATGCCACAAATTGTAAGAACTTCAGCATCTTGTTTATCTTTCACCCAAAAATTTATAGCTTCAGCTCGTGTGTCCATTCCAGTTAGATGTGGTGGAGTAGAAACTAATTTGAGACGTAGCTTATGGCCAATTGTGCTAACAATATCTGCTATAAACTTTGTTTCAGGCCTGAAACAATGAAAGTGGAAAATCAACATTCAGAATATTTGGCATTTAAACTTGTTAAAAAGTTAGACAAACACTTTTATTAAGTATCAAACATGTGGAATGTGGCCAATTACACATTCCAAAATCTTGGGGAAAGACCAGAGGAGGTAGTATTTGGGAATTGAAATAAAAGTTTGAGTTTCTCTAATGCAAATATATGCTTCAAGTTTAAAAACATAACTTTTTAGTTAATAAGCTTTATGGACAAAACTATTGTTAAATGAACTGATGAACTAAGAAGCCTAAGATAGGATTGTTGCAGTTTTTCATTGAATCAAGTTCCTAATAAAGACCAATCATTTAGAGTTTTTAAAGATAAACTTTAGCTCTACATGAATTGGGGAAAAATAAGATACTATTCAATACCTAACAAAAGAAAGAATGGAGTCAAAATTCATACCCAGTAAGAACCTTGCCCTCCAAATTAGCAACCTCTGTAAGGGCTGCCTTCCACCGTTCCACCTTCATTTGGAACCCTTCGACATCGGTGTTGACTTTTAAGGAAAAACTATTTTCTTGTTCTCTAACATGAGAGGGATCAACGTGGTAAAAAACAGGGATAACTATATGATAAAAGGTCTTTCTTCGTTCCATGATCAACACAAGCTCGTCAAGGCACAATGTTGAATTTGCATAATTTTTTGACAATACAACTATTGAAGCCCTAGATGCTGTGATTGCTCTTTCTATTTCGGGTTTCAGATCTGCAGCACTATTGGTTGAATCATCGTCTCTGAATGTTCTAATTCCTGCTCCCACTAACGCCTCGTAGAGATGATCGGTAAAAGAGAAGCGAGTATCTTCGCCTCTAAAACTTATGAAAACGTCGTACCTGCTGTTATTTGTCGCCGGAGAAGCGATTGTACTGGAGGAAGCAGAAGAAGCCATCGGAAATGGAGAAAGATACCGAAAGTAGAGATTTTTTAAGGGTTAGAAATTATGGTCTTCTTCGATCAGATGGAACTTGGAAGAGTACTTGAGTGGTAATGGAAGACTTGGTTGTCCTACGTAATCGCTTTCCTCAACCAACACTCATCGGACAAAACAAGGGTGGAGTGACGTATTTCATTTTGATTAGAGTAAATTACACAAATGGTCCTATGGTTTAGGTAATGTGTGAGTTTAGTCTTTAATTTATTTTTTTAATTTTGAAGCTTTACGTCCTGGTCCATATCTTACCTAAAAAGATTATTTGACTATTGACTTTTTATTTTATTTAAATAAACAAACCTCAAACATTACTTCTTCTTATATTATCCTACCTACTTCATAATTTTTTTTCTATTTAAATAATAGTTTTTTAGGTAAGACATCGACAAATCGCATAACAAAAATAAACAGTAGAAAGCAAGCGTGTAACAAAATCAAACAGTAACGACTTTCTGAATTAAAAAAAAAAAAATTTAAAAATAGAGACTAAACATGCAAATTACCCCAAACCATAAGTACCATTCGTGTAATTTACTCTTTTGATTAAAAAATTTGTTTCCTTTTTCTCTTCTAAAAAACAGATAAAAAAAACTACAAATTTGGTCCTTAAGTTTGCTGATTTTTTTATTTTACTCCTAAACTTTTAATTTCACTTAACTAGTCCTTAGTTGCGGATTTGGTCATTCAAAAACCTTTCCCCCAACTGAAATGGTTATTCTACCCTTCTAACTCATTTTTTTTTTCTTTTATTAAAAAAATAAACTCTCTTTCTCTTTCTCTCTCTCTCTCTCTCTCTCTCTCTATATATATATATATATATATATATATATATATATATATATATATATTTCCGTACTAAATTCAAAAGTTTATCTTTTATGTTATCATCATGTAGACCAATGATAAGATAGACATCTTTTATAAGATTGGAACTTAAAATTGTAACAGTCACACATTTGTAAAGTTGGCCAACTAAGCCAAATACTCAACAAGTTACTCAGACTCGACCTCTAACCCAGGTGATTTTCGCCAACTCGGCCAAAAGACTCGGGTATTAATCAAACTCGAACCAAATCGGTCAAATCATATTGATCAAGTCAATATACCCAATAACATAATTTTTTTTACTTAAAACGCGGTTTGAACCTAAAAAAATCCAGTGTTAAACCATTTTTTAAAATCTAAAACTTACTTAGACACTTTCCAACAAAGACAATCTTATGAAAGAATACCCCTAACATCCAACAAAGACAACCGCAAGGAATTTCGCATGGCTTGTGAGACATTCTCTTTATCGTACCTACATAGGGTACACTTTAAGTCTTGCATTATAACCAGAGTCTCTTGGAGAGAGAACGAGATAGTTATGTATAGATCTATACAGGATTGACAACCCCACACCTAAGTTGTTCGCTACAGTTACATCGGCATGTCTAGGGTGACAAATGTCTACCGATTCCGACGCCTGAAGAAAGTCGTTCAGGCATATCAGTCATATTAAGCATGGTTATAATAACTCACATAGGGATTAGCAAAACATTTGATTTACAGGGTAACTTCCACTTCATCAGTTTTATAAAAATTAAAACTACATACTATCCTCCAGTACAACATTACATACTTTTCTGGTATTAGGGTTTTAAGACTACAATTCATATTTAAGAAAATATTGGATTTGTTGGAAACATAAATTATCATTTTACAAGGAAAAGATACAAAAGAAATACATACATTTTAGTCTTAGATATAAGACTTACAACCTATTTTTATAGAAAATATCGGATTTTCTGGAAGTATACAAAACCATTTTAAGCGAAACAGTTACAAACCCTTTTCATACAAAAATGCTTATGAACTCGCAAAGTCAATTCTTGACACTTTTCAAAACCACTTGTATTCTCAGGAAACCAGTAAACATGTATCCAAATCTTTTGAGAACAGGAGTTGCAAAATCATGGATTTCTACATTTCAGTTATTTGTTGTTTATTTTTGAACAAACACAGTGTGTAAACTATGTAAATTTGCATTCTCAATGTATGATGTTTGGGTTGCTATGATTCATTTATACTCAATTGTTATGATACGATTCAATGACATCATCCGCCCTAGGATGTTTCCGTTGTTTCGGTTCGGGGGTGTGACAAAAACCCCATTTTTAAATATTGTTTTATTTAGATAAAATTATTATTAATTTTAATTGTTTACCGCTCCCTGTGTTCGATACCCTACTTACCTAATAGATAAGTACACTTCCTTTCGTGTGTTTGTCTTTGTGTTTAAGTTAGTAGGATTAAAACTAGTACATTCTACACGTATCAATGGATTTTCGTCCAAGGCTTGTGGCGGGAAGGCATAGACGAAATCAATGGGCTAGGAGTTCCTTATATAGTTGAGTATACTTAGGGCCAAAGCTAGGGTTCAAAGGATAAGCCATAGATTCCCTTGCTTGGTGACCAAGCAGTCTAATCCCCTTATCCAAAGGGCCTTGGACGTAATCTCTTAGGCTTGCCCTAGAGATTTTTATATACCTCATTCGGTTCTAGAGCCCTCCTTCCTCAACTATCAAAAAATAACCAAACAGTCCTTGTACTTTGAATAAGTCCAATTAGAGTAAATTACACGAATGGTCCTTATGGTTTAGGGTAATTTATGCGTCTGGTCCCTAACTTATTTTTTAACTCAGAAGGTCCCTACCGTTTGTTTTTGTTACGCATTTGGTCACTGTCTTACATTAAAAGACTATCTTGCCCTTAATTTTTAATTTATTTGAATAAGCACACCCTCAACCCCACCCCTCTCACCTTACCTTCCCTACCTCATCATTTTTCCTTATTTAAATAATAGTAATTTTAAGTAAGACAGGGACCAAGTGCGTAACAAAAACAAACAGTAGGGACCAAGCGCATAACAAAAACAAACAGTATGGACTTTTTCGAGTTAAAAAAATAAGTTAGGGACTAAGCATGCAAGTTACCCCAAACCATAGGGATCATTCGTGTAATTTACTCATCCAATTAATTTCTAATTAATTATTAATTAAATAATATTATTTCTAGTTATTATATTATTTTCATAACACATTAATAAACCATTTAATTTATTATTCACATAATAAGTTAATCTATATCTAAAAGTCATCATGTCTAATTGTTAGGTTTGAGGGCAACTCAAAAGAATCGTGTTACTATCAATTCAAGTGTATACCAATTATAGTTATGGGCTTAGAGACCTAATCCAATAGTCTTCCACTTGGATAAGTCTATAACTATAATTGCCAGTATAACTTCTAAACCAATCGACAAATTATAGCTTCCAAAAGTTGTTGTTAAACTCTGACCCAGTAAGTTATGTGTCCTAAGATAAGTGATTATATAATCCTCCATTCTGGAAGAAATCATTCGAACACGAGACATGGAATAAAATCATTCTCAATGTCTAAAATTTTGTTTCCTGATTTCTGATTTGTAATGACATATAACTTCTAATTTAACACATCAATTTAGTACTGGTCGGGCCTGAAACTATAAGTCAATACCAAATCATTGAAGGGCCCAAAGATATCATTTTTCCCATTAGGGCAAAAGGAACGAATAAACTTTGACTTATATGCTTTCACCATTTACTCATCATATCATGCATGACAATACATTTTGTAACATCAAGTTAGTGATGCGTTTACGTTTTATCAATGCACAACCGATTTGTAAATTGCAACTCATATATCTCCATTTTAAGATTATAAGATATTATCGTCTCAAAATTAATCGTGATAAATCTCATGAAGTAATTCTCTGAGTGTGGTTAATCTAATACTTAAATCTCCATTTTTAAGTACTTATTAACGTTGCAGCAATACTATTTCCATTTCTAACTCCTTAGACAATCTCCAATCCAGTTCATGATAGTCTTAATTCACTACTTACTTCCAAAAGTATGACCGACTGTGGAATGTTGAATAATCACACTATTCGGGAAGTAAAACATTCAAAATGAAACACAAGAATAAACAATTGACAAAAGGTATTAAACAAACTCATTAATAACTCTCTATTATTTAATCACCAAAAGTCAATTACATTTACTTTGTTACAAGTTTCAAACTAACTATCTAGCTACTAAAACAATGCTCCTGGGATGATAAATGTGTTTAGCCTTACTCAGACCCTTTGTGAGTGGATCTGCAGGATTCTCTTCAGACGATATTCTCTTCACAATGAGGTGACCATCTTCTACTCTATGTTTGATGAAATGGTACTTTCTATGGACATGTATTGATCTTCCATGATCTCTTGGTTCCTTTGTCAAGGCAACCGCTCCTTCATTATCATAGAAACGTTCCATTGACTCCTTAATAGTTGGAACAACTGCAAGATCTCTGATGAAGTTCTTCAACCAAATTGCTTCCTTTAATGCTTCACTTACCTCTATGTACTCTGATTCACAGGTAGAATCAACCACTGTTTCTTTCTTGGAACTTTTCCAAGTAACTACTCCTCCATTTAAAGTAAACACCCAACCAGATTGAGAACGGAAGTTGTCCCTATCCGTTTGAAAGATGGCGTCACTATACCTAGTTGTTCGCAATGTATCACCGCCACTAAGTACTAGGACCCAATCCTTACTCTTTCGCAGATACTTTAGAATATTCTTAATTGCTATCCAATGAGCTTTTCCTGGATTTCTCTGATAATAATTGACCATGCTCAAACAGAGGAATTGTTAGGGCGAGTACATGTCATAGCATACATGATCGATCCAACGGTACAAGCGTATGGAATCCGACTCATTTCTGATATCTTTGCATCAATACTCGGACTCTAAGTCTTACTCGGTTTGGTGTTACTCTGGATTGCCAGTTCTCATTTCATAGAATTTTCCATTCTAAAACGTTTTAGCACTTTTTCCAAGTATATACTTTGACTAAGTCCAATTAGTCTTTTCTATTCCTTAGAATTCT